CATGTGCATGATGCAGCTTGCTTCTCTTCTGAATCACCTTCCCTTCTCCCGCCTCCCTCCCATCTCCTTTCCCCGTCTTTGCTCTTGCTGATACTGTTAACCTTGGCTTATGCTTATGGCAGGTGATGTTTACGTTTATTCAGGGTATCAACTCCCTGTGCATGGCTTATCTTTACTTATTTACCCTTCCCCTCCCCCTCTCCCCTCTCCCATGGTCTCCTGGACCACTTCCCTATTGCAGGAGATCCAACCTCTCTCTCTTTCTACCAATACTTTATCATGCTCTTTGTCTGTACTTTGCCTCACTCAAATGAGATATGCCATGCACTATTTCAACTTGTGTGTCTGATTTATTTCACTCTGCTTTATGTTTCCTTGGTGCATCTATTTTTCTACAAATGTCTCAAATTTGTCCTTTTTTGTAGCCAAGTAGTATTCCATTGTGTATAGGTACCAGATTTTCTTTATCCAATCATCTGTTGATGGATATACAGGCTGTTTCCAGGATTTAGCTGTTATGAGTTGGGCTACTATAATCAATGCTATGCATGCACTGGTGTAGCATGATGTTACACCAATTTGAGGAAGATACGGTATCCAGTTTGCAGAAAATTGAAATTAGACCCATTTCTCTCACATGGTACTAAACAAAATCAATATGGGTCAGAAAAGTAACATTAAAACAAAAATGATGAACCTACTGGAAGCTAAAATAGGTAGAATTCTTGAAATAATAGGCATAGGAAAGGATTTTTAAACACAATAAATAACAGCCAGAATCAACCAATGGAATTATATCAAATTCAAAATTTTCTGTACAGCAAAGGAATCAGTTAGTAGAGTGAAGAAACACCCTACAGAATGGGAAAATTTTCTGCCAGCTATTCTTCAGACAGAGGACAAATATACACAATATATAAAGAACTAAAAGTATTAGACCACCTATACTAAAACTGCTGGTGGAAGTGTAGATTGGTGAAACCACTTTGGAAATCAGTTTGGAGATTCCTCACAAAACTGGGATTGGAAGTCCCATTTAACCCAGCTATTCCCCTTCTGGGTATTTTCCCAGAAGAATTAAAGACATCATACCACA